ATCCAAAGCTAATTATGTGCCTACTTTGACCCATCACAGTGTGTCACTAGCAGAATAAGGTTAGTGCAATCCAAAGCTAATTATGTGCCTACTTTGACCCATCACAGTGTGTCACTAGCAGAATAAGGTTAGTGCAATCCAAAGCTAGTTATGGGCCTACTTTGTACTTGTGCATGGTATAAGTGCAAAAGTTTAGAAATCTTGGTAAACAAGAAATATTCATCTTTCTAAACTGGAAGAGAAAGAAGCAACATATTTCATATACTGAATAGTTGATAGGAAGTTATCCATTGTCACTTTACTATTGAAAAATAAGTTGCTTATTTTGTTAAGGTTTTAAAATTTGTCATAAAGTTTTTCACTTCTGAGATTTTTCGAAACTTTTACACACAGAGTTGTTCAGTAATTTATTCAAATTTACCATACCTTGCCTTTAAACAAACTAAAACATGATATGTGTCTTAAGGACAAGAGCACTAAACTTATAATATGGTAATTTGAGACTAGTCATACAGAGGGATGGCTAGGCCTATAACAAGAGAGTTTGAAACAGTTGCTGCAACCAAAACTGAAACATTTTTAAAATTCTCATGGAATTATCTTTCAATTGATACCTAATTCAACTCATTATTAGGTAGGTAAGTATGGGTATAGATATAATTATTATTCCAATATAGTAATATTGACAGCATAAAGAAACTTCTCTTCATAAAATGTTGCAAAAATTTGTCGTTTGAACCATAGTTTGTTTTATGAAACTAACACTTGCACTAATACTGATTATTGAACAATAACTATGTGTTATACTAATTTTTTTTGATGTAGTGGGAGAGACAAAAAAAGTTTAACTTCAAATTTGATATTAATAACTAAATGATCTTCATAGGCACATTGTTTGTTTTGAATTTCGCACAAAGCTACACGAGGGCTATCTGCACTAGCCATCTCTAACGTAGCGGTGTAAGACTAGAGGGAAGGCAGCTAGTGATCACCACCCACCACCAACTCTTGGGTTACTCTTTTATCAGCGAATAGTCGGATTGACCGTCAAATTATAATGCCCCCCCACGGCTTAAAGGGCGAGCATGTTTGGTGTGACGGGGATTCGAACCCGTGACCCACAGATTGAGAGTCAAGCAACCTAACCACCTGGCCATGCCGGGTCAGGCACATTGTTTTTAACACTATTTATCTCAGCAATTTAATTTGCAATGTTTCTTTTTTATGTTAAATTAAGCTACAATAGTCATCTTTCCTGGCATGACAACAGCATTTAACAATTTCTTCTCTCTTTTGACATTTCATAAGAGTACACTGAATATCTGTTGTTGAAGTTAACGAAATATGTTTGAGTTTAATTTTTTCTCTCTCTCTCTGTTCAAGGCTTGAGAGTTCCACACAATAATAATTCTTTTTTATATGAACCAAGGTTCCCCTGAAAAGTGGAATGAAATGACTGAAGATCAAAAGCATGTTGTAGTCTTAAAACTTCTTGATGCCATAGAAGTCTCTCAGCGAACCTCTCGTATGATTGCCGTTCGGGCCATTTTATACTTGGTACAAGGCATTTTCGGTGAATGTTTGACTCTTGACGAGCAACCTCGATTAGCCCGAGAAAATATTTTTTTACTTTATGAAGCCGGCGTTTTTCATACCTTTGTACAGCTATTAAATATGGAAGCAGAGTAAGTTTTTGAATCGACTTAGATTAACTAGTATTCCATACATCATATTGTTTGTCACACACATAATAATAAAATGTATATGTTTTCTAAATTCATTTCTACTCAGTTAGCATATTAGAATATTCATTCTCATGAGATTTTTGTAAGTAATGTGTTCAGTTTAAAATTAGAGGTTTGAAATAGATTTGTACCATAAACTAAACCTTTCCTCTTACTACGGGAATAGAAGTACAGAAAAAGTTTAAATATCCACGAGTAAGAGGAAAGGTATGTCCAAGGGAATAGAAGTACAGAAAAAGTTTAAATGGATAAGTACAGAAAAGTTTAAATGTGAGTAAGAGGAAAGATATGTCCAAGGATGGGAATAGAAGTACAGAAAAAGTTTAAATATGAGTAAGAGGAAAGGTATGTCCAAGGATTTAAATATCGAGTAAGAGGAAAGGTATGTCCAACTTTTTCTGTACTTCTATTCCCA